GAAGTCGATTCCAACTCACAGAGCCGCCCGCTCGCAGAGAACTGCCCCACGGGTTTCCAGGGAAGCCCTGGATTGCTAACTGGAAGACGGTGCTTCCAACCCACCCAAGCAGAATTTTTGATGTGAAAAAACAGAAAATTGTTCACGACAGATTAGTAAGTAAGCACATGTAAACCTGTGATTACTTGCGTATCGGGTACTTGGACACTGACAATGAGGGCAATGTGAGGGTCTGAGTGGAACGGAAAGGCCAAACAGTTCTTGTGGAGGGAGCAACAATGAAAAAGAAACTGACAAAATTGCTCTGGACTGATGGATTTTTGGGGAGAGTGGATCAGAATCACCTGGAACTCTCTTTAAAAACCCAGGGACAAGGGGATTCCAAAAATGAAACTGTGGTGGGCCAACAGTGTATATTCACTGCATGGCTGATGGTGCTTTCGAACTGCTGACCTTTATAGAGCAGCCCAATACATAACCACTAAGCCACGAGGGCTCCTTAGATCATGGGGTGCAGTGGGGCCAATCCAGAGGAATTTAATATTGATCTTCATCCCACCCTATAATCCAGTGGTTCTCAATCTGGGGGTCACGACCCCTTTGGGGGTAGAACAACCCTTTCACAGGGGTCACCTAAGAGCATATTTCCCATGGTTGTTGGAACCAAGACACCCCTCCTCTATCCGTCTTCAGGCATGTCCACCCACATGTGGGGTTACCACAACATGAGGAGCTATATGAAAGGGCCGCGGTATCGGGAAGGTTGATGCATTGCATGATCAATGCTCTACATCACCTGACTCATGTCACCAACTCCCCGCACGTTTTCTTTTTCAAATTCCTTCTTAGAGAGGTGAGTTTAGAAGTCAGGTTAGAAACCACATTTCACATTTCTTTCAATGCTCCCTTTTAACCTAAACACGTAAACTAATTGTATGACCAATGTTAGATATGTGTACGTGGTCAATGCCTGGTATGTAGCAGACTTCAATGCGAGGGACTGACAAGAGTAGCTGCCAGAACGGGCTCAAGCCAGGCTATGACTGTGAGGGTGGTTGGTCCGAGGCTGGCCAGTGCTCCGTCCTACTACAGGAGGTTGCCAGGAGGTAGAGCCGCGTTGATGGCACCTGACAGCAATAATACCAAGTGTTGATTCTATTGCTACGAAAAGCAAAAGGAGTGTTGGAAAAAGCCATTAATGTTTTCATAGCCTTAACTGTATTCGTTGCTTTTATATTCCAGGTTTGGACTTTGCCGATAAACATACATAGTTCTACATGAGTTATTTATATTC